ACCTAAAAAAATTTGGTGCACAAAAATAGTTTTGGGTGCAAATAGAATAACTAGAATGTCAGCAAAAACTAATTATGTTACATTTCTAAAGAAAAGTACTAAATAACAATGATTTGTTATTTTTCTGACACATAGATATTAATGAAGAATATGCCGTATACTACTATACATTTAACATCTTTACATACGTAAACCTACTAAAATATTTGGGTGCACCGGTGCACCCACAGAAAATAATTGGGTGCACAGTTTCAAATTTGGGTGCACATACGCCCAGTATTTTGAGCCCTGCAAAGATAAGAGTAATTGTACAAGGAATTCAAGAATATAACAGGGTTCTCACTAGATTTTCTTTCACAACAGAGTTCAGTGGGTACAGAAGACACAAGCCTTGTGTTGAGTGCAGAAGACTTACAGCAGGGATCTGACATCATTTACACAACTTTCCTCACTTCACTCAGGTGGAAATGAGTACTAAGCTTTGCTAAGGGACGTCCCTCGGATAGGACGTTAAATGAAGGTCCTGTGTTTGGGAGAGCCACACCCCACGCACATTAAAGAACCCACCACACTTATTTAAAGGGTAGGGGTCCTTACAGGTGTGAGTGGTTCAAACCTTACAGTCTGGTCTTACCCAGCTTTACCGGTTATGGTCTCATTCATGAGTTTCGATACATTAGAAACCAATTGCATTAATGAGTGACTTACCAGACCGTGTTCCCTATGATCCTACATTAAATCAATTGATATCTTTCATGATAATTGCTAAGCACACTTACTCTACATTTCATTAAAAAAATTGCCAACGACTTGTATACACAAAATCCCCTTTTATGGGAATTACAAACTGCACTTAGTGGCTGCCCGCAAGAGGCCCTCCCGCGCTGCAAACCTACGACAGCACAACTTACAACACTGGACTGTGCACGTCCGACCTAGCGCGGCTACCGACAATTACGTCCTAATTTCATCAGTTACAAACAAGCTTTCACCGCTTTGACGTTTTACATCAGTTGGGAAGGCTAAAGGGAAAATTCTCACCAATAAAAACACGTTCATACAGCAGTTTAGTTTTTGACTTGGTACTCTTTTAGGGGGTACACTCGGAGTAATACATGAATGAGACCTTATACGAAACAAACACACAAACCTGCTGCAGTTGTTCCAAGCTGCACTTCTGGGCCAGCGCCCCCACACTAGCCAGGTCTGTCAGCGGCTGCCTGCCCCAGTCGGGAACAGTCAACACCAGCTTCTGTTTCTTACTCTCACGGGCCTGCTGGTCCTTCCGCTTCTGTTTAAAACCAACAATAACTGGTTAGAAAGGTTGAACATTTGCAAAGCAAATGCATGATGTTTACAGTCATACAAAAAAAAGAACTTTATTGACACAACAAAAGTGCAGCGACTTTCGTAAGGTCTACTCTAAGACATGTAGATACATGGGTACAACGAAATTATCCTACGTACAAAACAATAGATGGGTCAACTAATACTACTTGTTCTAAGGTCTAAACATTCTTTGATGTAATACCTATTTCTACACAGTAAGGGTTATTGCCTTCTAGGATGAAATTAAATTTATCTATAGCATGAAATGTAACAAATTCAGTCAAGCAGTTGGAGAGAAGGTTGAACAGCTTTGTGCGTTTATCGTTATATAGTGTACAATTAAAAAAAAAATGTTGTTGGTCTTCAATATCATTGGGACAGAGTGGACAAAACTTCTGGTCACGAGGGATTTTTTTGTATCTTCCTAATTCTATATTCAATTTATGGCTAGAAATTCTCATCTTTGTAATCGATCTAAGAACTTCAAAATTATGTATTTGAGCAAGGTAATTTTCTTAGAACATAAAAACACAGAATGCACTTGTCACTTGGAAGTAGCAATTTCTTAGGTCTCTCCTAGCTTCTTCTCTTGCTACGCAAAAGCCAAAACTTTCTGATGTTATCTTAATTCTTCAATTACAGGGCTCAAAATTCATTTTTGGGAATAGGTGCACTGGTGCACAAAAAAAAAAAAATTTGGGTGCACCATATAAAACAAAACATAATCAGAGATCTTACTGCTTCTCTTCAAAATGGGAGCTAACTTCAAAATCTTAAACAAGTACTACAAGAAACATTTTATTATTTTTCTGACACTTAGATATCCTGTATACTATTATACAATCATATGATATGTAAAAAAATACCTACAAAAATATTTGGGTGCACCCACAGAAAAAAAATGGGTGCACAGCTCCAATTTTGGGTGCACTAAGGTGCACATGCACCCAGTATTCCCAGCCCTGCAATTATTAAAAAAAAACCTGAAAGTCTTTACCTTTTCTTCCTCAAGCTTCCTCTTTTTCTCCCGTTTCTCCAATTCCTTCTGCTTCTCTGCAAAACCTTCCTTTCCATACTTCTGCTCCGCCTTTTGGAGAGAAAAGTCAATGTCAAGTGTCTATAAAGTAGGAAATTATCTATCATTCAAGATAAGAGACGCAGGAGTGGCCTGAAACGGGAAAGTTTATTTCGAACTTTCCAGAGAAACGCCTATCATAATAACTTGAGAACGTTCAACTAATGGCATATCAATATAATATCAAACTTATTCTCACTAGTACAGTGGAGCTAAGGTGGTGTTGGGGAGGTGGTGGGTTGAAATTCAAAAGGAAGGAGCTGAAAACATGACCAGTCTCCTCAAAAACAAAACCAACTGAGAGAGTTCGGCAGTCACGTGAGCGAGCGACCACGTGGTTTGTGGGCCGATTGAAATCTTGTTGTTGTATCTAATTACAAAAGATTTCCATTCGGAATTTTTTTTTCCAAATTGTACATTTCAAACCTGTGCTTGTTTCCAAGTAGACCCGAAATCATACTGTATGGGCATACACACCTGTATTAATTTCTTTCACAACGTTCATACTAGGGTTAGTCAAGAAAATCACAAGTATATGAACTGTACTGCAACAATTGTATCTGCAGAGACATTGTATAAGAAGGACTGGGCTCGCAATTAACACCCCGCGGTGGCCATTGTTCCGCCGCGCCGAGTCCCGCTGCGTCCCTTTGTCTTCACGCCCGCGCGGCCCCCGATTGATGTCAACGTTGGACTCACCCTTTCGCGGGGTTTTCGGCCGAATCATGACGTTGGCATAGCTAATGAGCAGCACCATGACGTCATGGGCGCCGAAGCCTTCCGAAGACTACTTCGCTACCCCTGCGTTTTCCGACAGTTTCCTTATTTGGGTTGCGCGGCTGCCATGCGCAGACGTCGGCATCGCGTAGAGAAGAAAATGGCGGAGATTTTGATGTTTGTTTCATCGCCGTACGACAAACATGGACAAGTTTACAGCCGTTTTCGTCGAAGTCACTTATGTTTTCAGCCGTAAAATATGTAAGAAAATACACAGATTTTACCTCGCTATAATGTTGTTACGCCGTTTTTCCTGTATTAGTGAACGTTTTTCTTTGAATGTACGGACCTTTTTGTTTACATTCCTGTACATTTTATCGGCGGTCGTTGTCGATTTTTTCCGGTCGCTGGGTTCAAACATTGCACCATGTTGTAGGAAATTCTGTAGATGGACTTGTACGGCGGACTTAGAAAGTCATGGGAGAAGGTCGGGTCCGTACTTTAGGGGTTGCATTTTCCGAAGCCAAGCGGAAGATCGCCATTTTATGTACCAGAAACGTGCACCAGGGACATGTCCAGACATTCATGCTTCATATACATGTGGGTTCCCGATCTTATCTAGTCCGTGTCTGCTTGTATTTTTTGGCAAAAAAACAGAAGCTTGGCACGTTGTGTTTGTTTCTTGGGGCTTCAGTTTAAAACACAGAAATATGGAACACCCGCTCGCGCTAGTGTGTAACTTTACATTCAAGCAAAGGTCCCTGATTCAAGTGTAGTACTACGTGTGTGGATATATCCCCCTCCAATTCTTCAAAATCATACTAAATATTATTTCAATCCTCAAAATCACTCCAAACTTGCTCCAAACAATGTGCCTGTCGCCCGGTCGCGGCATCGTAAATTTTCTAACAATAGCGGGGGCCGCTTGCGGGCGCTTTGTATTTATGTAAATCAAGGGGTAATCGGCATATAGGTGTCAATTGTTTTTTCACACATGAGTCGAACGTTGCTGAATAGTGACTAAATGCGAGCCCAGTCCTTGTGTATAATGTCCTTGGTATCTGTAACATAGGTGGATGCTATTCTCTATACTGTAGTTCATCAGCCAGTGACATTAGGGAGCTGGTAGCTATCTATATTGATTAACAGGAACTGTGGGTACTTTCTATACATTAGCTCTACCTGTAACCGTAGCCTCTACTAGGCTTCAGTAGTGGATGGAAAGAGTAGAAACTGGTCAAATAGACAGATAACATGTCAGGAGAGTTGGTCTGATAAAGAACCTAGTCCACACGTCACACAGAGAAGCAAATGTACTCCTTTTGCAAACCAAGTCAACAATTGTTCGACTTTGTAATTTGTATTGCACTACATTTACATTGTTGTGTTTGGGAGGACAACTTGTAAAGGTGTCAATACACCTGTTTTGTCCTCCCTTCCACTAATGTATATTTGTACTTGTGGTGAATTCTAATAAACAAATAAACAACTCCTCTGGCATGTTATCTGTCAATTTTGCCAATTTCTACTCTTTGCAGTCGCCTGTGAAGCCTGGTAGAGGCTACTGTAACTTCACTGAGATGGCTTCATTAGCTGCTACTGCTAACCAAAGGAAAACTGGAAAGGGTACAGAACCAAGCTGCAAGATTCTGCACGAACAACTATCAAGGGGTGCTAGTGTAACGGAAATGAAGAGAAACCTACAGTGGGGGTCGCTGGAAGACAGACATAGAATGTCCAGACTGTGCATGATGTACAAAATGACTAATAAGCTGGTGGATGTACCAACCACTAAGTAGCTGATACCGGCCCAGAAAAGAACAAGAAAATGCCTTCAAATATCAGAGTTATCAACCAAGAATTGAGGTATTAAAAAACTCGTATTTCTCCAGAACTATCGTAGACTGGAACTCGTTGCCAACAAGCACAGTTGGGGCATCATCACTAGAAAGCTTTAAACAACTCTTGCAATCAAATGTGCAAAGATTGAATGTAACAAGTTGTTCGGTGTGATATAGCTAGCTGCCGCTGCGCCGTGTGCCTGAGAAGCTGGTGTGTTACGCCGAAGGGCGGTTATACCGGCTATATCGATACAGATACTAACCCTTTCCTGCAGGTCAGCGAGCCTGTAGTACTTCATGGCACTTCCACATCCAAAACCAACCCAGAAGGGAAGAGTGTAGTCCAGGCCTGCCATGTCTGCTGTGGTGAGGAAGTATCTCTTCCTGGCCTTCTGTGCAGACAGACGTCCCCCGATCAAATCCATGTCCATCGTGGGATAGCACCTGAAACAGACTGAAGAAGATTCCGATTGGTTTGCAAGGGGTGTCCGGGAGGCAATCCAGATCCGCCGACAACGCAGTACCTTAAACAAGGACAGGGGGCATCACTACCTGAAACCTGTATGAGTGTCCAGGGCTCGAATTTCATGTTTGGGAATAGGTGCACAGGTGCACCCAACCTAAAATATTAGGTGCACAGAAAATTTTTTGGGTGCACCATATAAAACAAAAACTAATTACAGATCTTACTGCTCCTCTTCTGAGCTTGAATCTGAAATGGGGGCTAACTTACAACAATGATTTTATTATTTTTCTGACACTTGTATGCCAAGAATATCCAGTATACTATTATACATTTGATATGTACAAAAATACCTACAAAAATGTTTAGGTGCACCCACAGAAAAAAATTGGGTGCACAGCTCCAATTTTGGGTGCACTAAGGTGCACATGCACCCAGTATTTCCAGCCCTATTGTCTCTTGTCACGTGATTATCACATCAAGTCATGTGACAAGAGAACTCCAAGATGATATCTTAATTGGGTTGAAGAAGAGACAGAGTACGTCTCGAAAGCTCCCCAGTGTAGCTGAACTTTTGTTGTGTGTTTAAGTATAAATATTTTGTTAAAAGACTTGTTTGAATGTTTGTTATTTAGGCCACACCAATTTCATTTGTTGGTTCTCGGATTTTTTCAGATAAAATATGAAGCGACAGGGCGAAAAAAAATAAAAATAAAAACAGGTCTAGGCATCCTATTATAGGCTTAAATGCTACAAAATGAGCCATGAAGTGAACACAAAAGGCTGGGTTAAAATTTAAACATTGAATTTTGAACTTTTAATCAAACCACTGCAATGATAGATGGGAAAACTGTAACAACTAGGAAGAAAAGGACTTTCCTCAACTGTTGGGGGGCAAAACATGAGCATTTTTCAGTTGATTCAGGACCAGAATCAAATTTTTTTTTTTACAAATCAGAAAAAAACGAAGAGGCGAATCCGAGAACCAACAAATTAAATTGGTGTGGCCTTAGTGTTAGTTGTCAAATGGTCCTTTGAATCAATGTTTGCTACAATCTTTGTACAGATGCATTGTAACGTGGGGGGTTTATAGGCGCTGCCAACTGACCCGGCCGACGGGTCTAGACCTTTTAGGTTAGAGCGTCTGGTTATGAAGCTCTGGTGCCCGGGAGGTCGTGGGTTCGAACCCCGGCCCGGGACCAGTGGGGTTTTTACTGGCTCCTCCTGTTTCTTACAGTGGTTCCCACACCGGCCCTGAGTTCTGGCAAAGAGTGCCGCTCCAGGGATGTCGAATTAAGAAGGTTCGAGGACGAATCTTGAAAAGGGGGAGTAGTGTAACAGTGGGGGGTTTATAGGCACTACCAACTGACCCAGCCGATGGGTCTAGACTTTTAGCGGAGCGGTTAGAGCGTCTGGTTATGAAGCTCTGGTGCCCGGAAGGTCGTGGGTTTGAACCCCGGCCCGGGACCAGTGGGGTTTTTACTGGCTCCTCCTGTTTCTTACAGTATTTACATGTAACATTACATGCACAGCACGCTGAGGACAGAAAGTCTGCCAAGTACGAAGGCCTGATTAATGAAATAAACGTACATAGTGGGTACAGGGCTACACTTGTTACAGTTGAAGTTGGAAGTAGAGGATGGATTAACAGTGAGAACACTGCGAAACTGAAGTCACTCTGCCTAGTCAGTCATAAGGACCGTGAGGTCAGACATCTTAAAAGTAGACTGGGGAAGTGCGCACTTTGTGCATCTTATGCCATATACTGCGCTAGAAACACACAGGGTTGGAAAAGTACCTCAGGGCTATTCTCTTGTAAAATATAAATTTGATGCAACAGGCTTGATTCTTTTCTTTTAATCTTTAAGATCTATAAAACATTTTTGTAAGTATACGTATAAATGAAATGTATGTGTAGAAAACAATTTTAATCGAAAAGTTTAATGTCCGATGCACACATGTTACTTGTTACATTTTACTTACCTTGCGCCCTCCTCTTAATTATAATGAGATAGAGGCTGGCCTAGGTGTACTTCAACGAGTCAACTTGTATATATTTGTATATTGAAATAAAGATGATCTTAACCCCCTATCCAGGGACATCTGGAAAACTTAGTTTCAACTTTGGGTTGGTTATTAGGCCACACAGACTTAATTTTATGGATGACATCCCTGTGCACATTGATTTTCTATGTTCTAAAAAAAAAAACCACGTCATCCGAGGCTCTGGCCCAGGTAGCCCATTGTAGTTAGCGACTGAATTCCACAAATGCATACTGCATAAGAATAGGAGTTTATACTATACTATTATGGTAATCTCTCACCAGTATGGTAATAGTCATCATTATGTAGTCATCATTTATGGTAATCTGACTCTTTGAGCTGCCTCAAGAGTGCATAGAGATTCATTAGAACTTGTACTCTCAAGAAAGAACCATGGAGTTAAAAGGACAGTTCTCTTTGTTCTAACAGTAAACTTGTCCTAGAAAGAAGTTGTATGTTTCAAAATACTGTATCTTTTAAAAATATTACAGTATTTAAAAATACTGTATTTGAAAATACTGTATTTGAAAATACTGTATTTAAATATGGTATTTTAACTCCATATTGTATTTAACTTTGTCTTCAAAAAAGAAGTCAAACCCAGTAGTTTTTACCAGTAGTTTCTTAGTAGTTATCAGTAGTTCTATATGTAACGGGGGGTGCCCTAATTCCGACCTATGTTCCATGCAAACGCACAGACCTTTGGTAATAGTTTATCTGACCAAAAACCCGCGCAACATGAGCTATAATATTGACGGATAAAGATCACAATGATTAAAGCTGTACAGCTGTATATTTCACTTGAGTGTAGCGCCTTGCACCCAAGCGTAATGGTTCGCGAAACGCAGGGCAGGTTTTTGGTCATTTTGCCGGTGGAATGTTCTATCGCAACAGGGGTGCCCTAATTCCGACCTAGTGTTTAACACAGGTCGATCTGAGAAGAGAGTTTAGAAATTAAAATACACAAATTATGACTAAGGCCCCGTTCATGATTGGGTATCTGTTGCGAATCAATGCGATTTAAAAAAATAAATCGATTCATTTGGGAACATGAACGCTTCAAACCGGTTCCGTTGCGATTTATTCTGAACCACCTCGCGAGGTGGTCTGAAACGATACAGAACGATTCGCGTTCGTAGAATTGTAATCATGAACGCGCGGATGCGAATCGTTCCGGTTCGACGCTGTACTCCCGGGTACGTGGGGGCCACGGTCGGCCATAGTTTGCGGCGCAGTGGCTTGAACTGCGGAAAATTCTACTTGAATCGTACACTTGACATCGAGTTCTAATTACTGGTCGACTGAGGAAACGGGACTTCCGATATTGACTTGGGGAAATCAGGAGATCCAGAGGAAACTGGATGGTGTGTACTAGAACCTACCCTGGGCGTGAGGGCGAGTGGTAGCCCAACGGGGGCGTTGGGGTGGCGGACCGTGGGGGTTTGCGCCAGATGCGTCCGGGGCACAGCCTAAGGGGAGGACATGAGTCGGGAACGAGCGACCACTCGCCCGGACAGGCGTAAACTCTCCGCCTTACAAGCCGGGTTCCCATGAAATATTCAAAGAAATTGTGATATACACATGAAATGCAAGTCAATTCGAGGTCTGAAACCGTTTCCAGTGTGGGTGCAAGTTTGGAATCACGGAAGCAAAAATATATTCCGCTTCGATTCGGATCGTGGCCAAACCGGAACACATTTCAATCATGAACGAGGCCTTAAACAATCTACAACTGTGTTTCTGTCCCAAACAAGTAATCTTTTTACGATTACGCGACTTGCTCCAAAGTCGCTGTTTGAAAAGCAAAACCTGCATTTTTGACACGCTCGTCAACCCCCGAACAAGCGTCGAATTCACACAAATTTTTCACTCGTCTGTTGTCGGAGTGTACGAACTAAAACAAACTTAGTGAGATTACCGATATAAATACAAAAACTTTGTCCATTCTTGTGGTTATTTTTAGGCACGTGCTCACATGCATAACGCCGCAACAAGGATTTTTCAAACTAGTTCGGTATTAGGGATGGGTCGGAATTAGGGCACCCCCCGTTACTAATTGTCTGTTTTTTACTAATTGCCTGGGGTTTTGTGAGTGTTTGAGGATTCAGGGGCACCAAGTTTAAACCTCGGTCTTCAAGTTTATCTTAGTGGATGATGAAAATCAGAAAACAACACGGAAATCCCCACCGAAGTTCGAAAACACAGGGACTCGGTGGTCAGAGATCCGGCCGCCCAGGCGCGTCGGTCGTGAGAGTCCGGGACCGTTCCCGACGGGGACGGCTCGGGCGCTGAAGGGAAGCAACGGTCAGGTGTGGCCGGGAGTTCTGCGCTCAGGCTCCCGAGGATTCGCGGCCAGCTCTACGGCGCGTTCCCG